TGGGACCCTTTGACAGTTGAACCACCGCCGCTTGGTCCCGAACCCTTGCCACTTGCACTGACGTCCGATCCCGATCCCTTACCATGCGCACCACCGCTTGATCCTGATCCCTTGCCCTCTGTTTCTTGACGCCCGTGAGACATTTCGGGTTTTTGCAGTTCACCATGATTTATGCCCTTACCGCTTGCACCGCCGCTTGTTGTCGGACCCTTGCGACTTGCACCGCTCCTCGATCCCAATCCCTTGCCATGCGCACCGCCGCTTGATCCGGATCCCTTGCTATACGCACCGCCGTCGCTTGCTCTTTTTTTCTCCCCTTCTCTGTGCTCAAGATCTTGTTCGACATGCCAATTATATCCATAAGCCGGGCTGGTTTCTCTATTATAAAACTCTTCCAGATACTCAAGCCACTGCGATGTTTTGAATTCTTGGAAATTTTTCTCTCTTCTTACATCTAGTCTTGATTGAGAAACCTCCGGATTAAGTCGCAGAAGCCGCTTGTCAATCTGATTATCTCCGTGTTTAAGAAAGTTCAATTCTGACATACCTCTGTGGAGCTAAAACTGTCACTCCCCTTCTTCTTTTATAGCCATAACCCACTCCCCTCTTGCCAATGGAGGTTGGAAGTGTTGGGTGGCATATAATGTGATGACCCCATATGTCATCATCCATCACCGTATAATTGTCTCGGCACACAATAGGTCCCGGAAGCTATGCAATGTCCGCAGGGATTTTGTCTCCAATCTCGTACTCCAAAGGCTCATTAGAGGGAGGTTGTTATTGAGTTCGAGAGTGTGGCAATTCCAAAATAGTACTTGGGTTGTCTGCAAATGCTGACAGAGTTGCCAATAACTCTGGGGAGAGCATTGCATGAACCTTCGGATCCATAATTCCTCTGGATGGTAGCGTCATTGTATTGTCCGCTATCTGAGTAGGTGTAACTTGCACAATAGAAGAAGGTGACGGACGAGTCATTAACTGGTCCGTTGAAACCGCCAAACTTGAAGCTCCTCTAGAAGCGGGCGATGTACCTGGAACACCCATCTTCTGCGAAGCCAAGCTACAAGCTCTTTGCCTCTTATCTACCAAAGTCGCTTGCAAAGTATCATCAACACTTTCGTCGTCTGAGTCCTCGGCATCAAAGTCCTCACCATTCTCAAAACAAGTTGCATAACCTGCGATTGTAAACGCCCCTATTTGTTGGTCGAAGTACATTTTCTCCAAACGGTCCAAAAATGCAACTTCCTTCTCCGATGGTGCTTTATGATAACCTCTTAAAAGCGTCTTCACTTTTCACCTTCTGACGACATAAGTACGTTCCCCTCCGTGTTGTAGCTTTATTTCGAAAAGAAACTCTCAAATATTGACTATGTTTTTGTCAACTTTGTAGATGAGATCACGGCCTTCATCATGTCGAGGAGGCGGCTTAATAAATTTGGCGAAGTAATCTCGAGTTCCGACCATCTTGTTGATGAACTGAGTGAGGAACTCGAACTTCATACCCTCCCCTTCCAGCACAATGCAATGATGGTGACTCTTTAACAACTCCCAAACGAATGCCGCATGATCTTTTTCCAGAAAAACAACAGCCCCATCCGCAGGATAAAAATGCTCCAATGTCTCCGCCATCGCATTCGGCTCCCTTTCCATTCCATCATAGACAACTTTCTCCTTTGGCTCCATACCTGCCATTTGTCACTTTGTTGGCGGGAAGTTATTCTCCACGACATCAGTCAACATCTTCGGCTTTCTCTCTCTCCGCACAAGTGTCGATATGTCAGTCACTTGCTCGCCATATGACGGACCTGCAGCTTGAATGTCTTCAAACAAGGAAATAGTGTTGCGAATGATAATCCCCGTCGTTGGAGTACATGATGACCACCATTTTGTCTGTGTCCTCCAAAGGCAAGTTTGCAACCTTATAAGAACATTTCGCCTTTGTTTGTTGTTGACGAGTCCATTTCATAATAGACAAGTGAATGTCCCAACCCACGACTCACCTGGAGAATGTGAATTCACAAGAGCGTGGAACGAAGCACAATAATGTCCAATATTCACCGCCATGTTTTCTCATAAACTTCCAGAGCCCATCAAACACTTGTTCAGTCCACGTACCCATCTGGGTTGGGCGACACAAATCAAGCACGACTGTGTGGCACGTCAGATGTCTGACGACTCTATACATCTCCTTGGAATCCATCTCGTCTGAAACATCGCTCGGTTCTCATTGCAAAGATACGAAGACAAACTTCACGTCCTGTTTTTGGAAATGTATATATATCGCTTGGCCCGATATACGAATGTTTATGAACCCCCGGTTTCTGATCTGCGTAACAACTTGTTGACAAATTGTATAAACTCTTCGAGGCACTTCTCTGCAAACGATTTTGTTTTCTCGAAACCCTCTTCTCCTTTCTCGTCTTCTCGTCCAAGTGTAGCCGAAAATGACCGCACCCAATTCATATCTTTAAAATGTTGTCGCTGGTCGATCCACCTCTCGGATGTCAATCGTTGATCACAACACTTATCAAACACATCAGAAAGGTTGTCGAAGAATGATTCCTTTCACTCTAACGGCTTCCTGTGAGGGTCATAAATGAAGACAAAGTAGTGAAACATTTTCAACATTGCTCTTTCCAGTTTCATCATTTTCACATATGTCTCCATTGAATGTTTCCCGACACTTTGAGCAGCTTTACTTTGCTTTGGAGCCAGTATGATATTGCCTGTGAGAATATGTCGCAACAATTGAAGCCGCTCACGCCTCCCTAACGTAGACACAGCCTTCCATGCTCTGACATCCGGATCGTGCACAGCCACGAGGTAACCAGGTCCTTTAGTACCGTGAACCCAGTGCATTGGAACCCTAACTTCATTTTTCAACTCAAATCCGGTTTCAGGTCTCGGTGCTCTCCCCGATTCACTTTGTTTGGTGGCAGGCTTCACAGCATCTCTCCCCGACAATTGTCCACTTTCCCAAGCAGCATACACTTATTTCACCTTCTCGAAGACTTCATATGTCACCCTTGCCAATATCATGTAAGGCCCGAGGAAGTCGGACCACTCCTTGCTCCAATGCCCAAGCGACAAAGTAACTAAATGATCAATCCCGGTCAAGCGAAGAGTCTTCGCCGCGAACTTTCTGTACTCTGCATTTTTCACTTCTGCAGCAGATCCGTCTTTAGCATCAGGATGGTCTGATGCCAGCCACAACTTTCGTATGTCCTGAATGACAACAATTTGGTGTGGTGGAGTATTTCATTCGTCCTTCGCATTACGGAAAGTGCTCAAGGTGCCGTAATTATCCATGCTCCTATCAGGATAGTAAACAGGCCTCGCAGTCCAGCAATCCAAATGGAGCTCATGGGCGTTGTCAGGGCGCTCATGAAAACATTTCCTTGCCGCTGCCACATTATCTTGACCGATGAGAGGGTACCTGTAGTACTTGCGCACGGATTGGAGATTGAATTCGTCAGGCGTCACTCTTTTTGGTCTCACATTTGTTCCTGAAGCGTCAGTATGCGTTGTATCATGCAACCCAACCAACAAAACGACAAACTTCTCATATAATGTACATACATTCAACCCGGCTGCTCCAGTCGTTTTCTCTCTAATAGCTGCCTCACCCGATGCAACCATTGCATCGTAAATCTCGTCAATATGTTGTTGCCCGAGAAAGCGTTGATTATATTTGAACTTCCTGTCAGGGATATCCAGAATTTTGTCAAACTTGACAGAAATGAACTGCATGTCTGACCTCTAGTTCCCATTCTCATCGAACTCAAGGAAGAAGCCTTTGTCGAGATGACCAGAAGAGTTTTCCGATGGCAGAATTTGCAAACTTGGCGGCCCGGTAACTGACTTGCCTGTAGCCTCTTCATCTGATTGAAGGTGGTCCGGTGGAAAAACGGAGTTTTTTCCATTACACCTCCCTTCGCTGCTTTTTTCTTTAGCTGCTGTTTTTTCTTCGTGGCCTCCTCAGCCTCCCGTGTATGCTGGACCGCCTCATCCATTGGTAGAAGTTTCAACTTTCGTTTGTGACCCCCTTCCTGCTTGGTTCTTTTAATGTCCAAAACACTTCTCCTCTCTTGCCTGATCTTCCTCTTTTTTTTCAGCGAGCTCTGCGGCATCGGCATGTGCCGTCACGACCATTATTTCGTGTTGCATTCCCTTGCGCCCTCGATGCACATCCCAATGTCCTTGTCCGGGTGGGAGCTGTTGCTCTTGTTCGCGACCCCGACGCACATCTTCATATCCTCCCTCACTGGTCGTTTCCTGTTCGTGCCCTTCACCCTCATATTCCATCCCCAGACCACCCTCTAATTCGCCACCCCTTTCGCTGATAGTCTGCTCACTATCTCTTTCTTGTTCTTCTTCATGTTTTCCTTTCTCATCGTCACCCTCCTCATAGTCTTTCTGTTCTCCACCACGTTGTGAATCTTCCTCGTTGTTCTCCTCATCATTATCTCCAAAATATTCAGGGACCCCCTCAGCACGGCTTAGCACAGTGTAGTCATAGCGCGGTTGGCAGACCAAGGCAAAAGGTTCCTTGGTTGTTGCAGGTCTGGATTTCATAAGGGCTGACGACATGATTTGGCCGCGGCACGGACCTTTCTCTCCGATCTGCCCAAATTTTAGAACTCGCAGTGTAATAGCTGGAGTCCGAAGCGCCACTAGAGGGCGGATCCCTATTGTGAGGGGTTTCGATGAGGGTGTCACCTCCAAGGATGACGAAAACACACTTTTCGGCTCAGATATGCGGTCTTCAGCATGCGCCACCGGCTCATACGCTGCAACCACATTACTATCGAAGAATTCGAAAACCATGGCAAGGTCTGACAACGTCAAAAATTTCCTCATCACCGACGGATTGAAGATATCAACAAGCGACTTGCTGTATCCTGCGTGCTTGGCCCATCGAAGAGCAACGTGCTTGACATTTGTCACTCACTAACCTTTACCGGTAAGGACCATCGTCATCTCGAACATGGCTAACGGTGTACCTCGTCCACTCCACTTCACCACACCGCCAATCGGTACAATATTATATTTTATCACCACATACAGAACCAGTCCACTCGAGGGTTCCCCGATGTCACCCACCCAGTCCAACATCTAGTACTTGTCTTTATGGTCGACGATGGGCACATCGTCCCCCACACCTGCTACGGACGTGTCACCAAACCTTTTACGCCTGGGCACAACGTCTATCACAGATTTCGCCTGCTGACCACTAAGCACTTGCTCCTGACCTACAGGTCCACCACTCATCAACACAGCCACATCCGGTCCAGAACCACGAACATGAGCGGACAGAGTGCCCATGGAAGGCGCACCCGGAGGACCGAGCTGCGTTGGCCCTTAGATCCTGATGTCTCCTCATTCCCCACGTCAGTGGCCGGCGTCCCCTTCGACTTTTTCGGAGATTCTTCCATGCTCTCGGAACTTCTACT